CGGAGCCCGAGTTTTGCCCGCCGTCATCGGAGCGTAGGCGCCCAGGGCGGCCCGCGGAGCCCGGGTTTCGCCCGCCATCACCAGAGCGCCGCCCGGAGCCGCCCTCGCCTCCCGCAGAACACGGAACGGTTGCCCGCGGCGGTGGAGGTAGAGGTGGCTTCGGCGGCGGCGGCGGCAGCGGCGACAAGTCAATCTCGTGGCGCGGAAAGCGCTTCAAGAAGCACTCCGACTTGAGCTGGGAGGAAGAGTACGTGCACGTGGAAGTGTCCCGGGGCGGCGATACACGCCCTCCCTGGTTCGACCGGCACCCCCGAGGACCGCCGGTAGAAGTACGCTGGTTTCCGAAACGAGAGCCCGGCCGCGGCCCCGGCGGCGTCTCCATCGACGTGCACTACCCGCCCGACACGGACTGGCCCGCCGTGATGGAGGACGCCCGGTGGCGCATCGGTGGGAAGGACGACGGTGTTTTCGGTGCTTGGGATGAGTGGAAGGAATGGCCGCCCTTGAGGGTAGGCGAGTTTCGTCCTTTGCCTCCCACGCCCGCCGAGTTCTTCGACGACGACTGGTGGGATGTGTATCCGCGCCGTCTGGGCTGGTGACGCGTTTCCAGACGGAAAGGCGCTTGGATAAATATTGCAATGTATAGTTTACTGGTTTTATGGTCAACTTGCTACATGTTTTTTTTCTTATGTCAATACAACATCCTCAAATAAAGGCATGTAGACTTTATAATATATGAAAAAAATACGTCTACAATGTATATATAGCTATGTATAACGCTGTTGGTGGGTATGAGAGCGAAGTGTTAGAGGTACTTATGTGACGGCAGTGCATTGTAGTAGCTGTGGCGCAGATTTTATATCATATATGAAAAATCAAGTTATTCATGGGTTTTGACCTTACGATACGAAATAAAAACATTCACCAATACGCCCTTGGCAAACCAGAACGGGTAAATTCCAACACTGCTGGGAGTGAGCGCAAGCTCATGTGGGTCAAGCTCAAGATCCCCAAAATCCGACCTTGCCCATTCTCCTCCCTGCCCATCTCTTCGTCCAACCCGCACAACCACCGCGACGATGCCCGTGCCCACCATCTTCTACCTCTTCGAACACGGCCCGCCGCAGTGGCTGCGCGACCGGGCCGTGCCCCTCGCGCTGGCGCTCGCCGCGCTGACGCTGCTCTACCTCGTCAAGCGCTACGCCGCGGGCCAGACCTACGCGACGACCAAGCTCATGCACGGCAAGGTGGTGCTCATGACGGGCGCGACGTCGGGCGTCGGCGCCGAGGTGGCGTTCGAGCTCGCGCGGCGCGGCGCCCAGCTCGTGCTCCTCACCCACGCACCCGTGGCCGACCCGTTCGTCATCGAGTTTGTCCAGGAGCTGCGCGACCGCAGCGGCAACCAGCTCATCTACGCCGAGCACGTCGACCTCGCCAGCCTGCACAGCATCCGCCAGTTTACGACGGCCTGGATCGACAACGCGCCCCCGCGCCGCCTCGACATGATTATACTGTGCGCCTCGACCATGACGCCGCCGGGCGGCGCCCGCCGCGAGGTGGATGGCAGCGGCGGCATCGAGGAGATGTGGATGGTCAACTACCTCGCCAACTTCCACCTGCTGGGCATCCTCAGCCCCGCGATCCGCGCCCAGCCGTTTGACCGCGAGGTGCGCGTGGTGGTGGCGACGTGCTCGTCGTACATTGGCGCGCCGTCGCTGCGCGAGGAGCTCCGGCCGGAGACGTGGACGGCGGGGCGCGCCTACGGCCGCAGCAAGCTGGCGCTGACCGTGTTCGGCCTGGCGTTCCAGAAGCACCTCGACGCGTACCAGCGGCCGGACGAGATGCCGATGACGGCGCGCGTCGTCTTTGCCGACCCGGGCCTGTGCCGCACCCCGGGCACGCTGCGCTGGCTGACGCGCGGGTCGCTGACCGGGCTGGTCCTCTACGGGCTCGGGTACCTCGTGCCGTGGCTGCTGCTCAAGTCGGCGTCGGGCGGCGCGCAGTCCCTCCTCTACGCCGCCATGGAGTCGGACCTGGCGCGCAAGACGGGCGGCCGCCTGGTCAAGGAGTGCTCCGAGGTCGACTTTGCCCGCGCCGAGGTCCGCGACGAAGAGGTCGCCAAGAAGCTCTGGGAGGAGAGCGACGCGCTGATTGAGCAGACGGAGAAGGCGCAGGCTAAGCGCCGGGCGCAGCAAAAGGCGACCGAGGACAGCAAGGAGGAGAGGAAGAGGGAGGAGGAGCAGGTCAAGGAGATTGAAAGCCTCATGGCGGCGGTGAAGAAGGGGAAGAAGCAGCAAAAGGCAAAGGAGAGCGAGAAACAGGGTGGCAAGGCGAGAAGACGGGTCAAATAAAGAGGCCGCATCACGACTGTACAATTAGACTGGCACTGGCATAAATGGAGTTGCATTCAATGGAAAAGGGATTTGATTTAATTCTTGCAGACGTTTTTCTCTCCAGCTTCATCATCACCGCTTCACACGGCACCACTGCCTTGCCTCGCCGAGGGGCTCATTCAGCCCTATGTACCGAGAGATGTCGGAGCTAGAAAAGGTAATCGTTCCCGGGTTCCAGCCGCTGAGAGAGAGGAAAGTGAGATATAATCAGACGGTTCGTGATACAAAGTGTACGTGGCATGCGTTCGAAGCCGCAAGCAGTTAATGACTGCGATGCTGTTGACGGTCCTTGACAGTCCTTGACGGGCTGGCAGAGAGCTCTCTTCGTATAATAAATAAAAGGGACTTGATTGTCCATTCACTTTCTTTCACCTCTAGCCACCCGCATTTCTCACGTCACAAAGGGACAAAGATTTCAGCCTCTTATTTTCTTCCCTTGGACATTATCCGTTTTTATTTTTAAAGATGCTTTCGACTCTGTGTTTATGTGGATGGCCGCCACTTTGCCGTCTGTGTACAAGTGCGTGGTGGTCTATTTTGCCCTGTATCGTCAAATCTGGGCCCACAAGCACTGCTCGTCTGCACATCTTCACAAACACAGACTAAAAAGACTTGGGTTTGACGATCAGGGGGTGCAGACATGCCCGTTCCCGTGCTCCGGCAGCGACGCAAGGCACCCAAGACGAGGCCCGGCTGTCGGACATGCAAGTGAGTGCGCGCGCGCCGAACCGATCCTCGAGAGCAACGTGACGAACGAACCCTTGAAAACGCAGAGAGCGCCGCATCAAGTGCGACGAGCAGCGGCCGGCGTGCCAGCGATGCACCATTTCCCAGCGCACCTGTCCCGGCTACGAGACGTCGCAGCCGACGACACAAGGTGAGCAGCGGCGGTGGTCCGCATCGCCTACCCTCACCACGCCGCCGCCCTCGCTACCGTTTGCCATCAGCGCCGCCGAGAGCAATGCATTCGACTACGTTCGGCTGCATCTGGGCGCGACGCCCAGCCGGGCCTCGTGGTGTCCCCCGTGGGCGACCCTCGTGGTACGGGCCGGGCAGCAGGTGCCCGCCATCTTTCACGCCGTGAATGCGCTGAGCGCGCTGCATCAGTCGTCGAGCGACGACGGGCTGGCGAGGCATAGGCTGCAGTTTGCGATTGGCCAGTACTGAACAAGGTGAAGCGCATTTTACCCTTGGGGCAGGCACGGGTGGTGACTAACCAAGCGTACAGTATGAAGTACATGAGAGAGTTTCTGGGGGCAATAACTAGCGACAGGTACTCGGACGCACAGGTTGAGATTTGTGTAGGCAGCAATCTATTCTTGGCTAGACTGATGCTGGGCTAACATGTGTGTAGCTCATCGCCTGTCTGTTGTTCATATGCATCGAGGTTTTGCAGCTTCGAGACGGCGGCATGGTGCACTACAAGCTGGGGCTCAAGATTATCCGTGAGCGCATGCGCCGTCATCAACTAACCCGAGACCGACGGCGCATTCAGCTCGCACCCCCTTCCGGTCCAGATGACACGCAAGAGAGGGAGCTGCCAACGCAGACCGCTACCCCCTTGGATACCCGTACGTTGCCAACCCTTGATCCAGCCGTCAAGGCTTAAATATGGAGCTGACATACGCGCGCAGTTGTCCAGATCTTTGTCAAGCTCGACACGGATCTCTGCCTCCGTGGGCAGACACAGCCGCAGTTCATCACAACCTGCCCCAAGACTCCCATCACGTTTCTATCCATCCACGAAGCCGACGTCCATCTGGACGTGCTCGCCAATGCCGTCTACCGCACGCGCGGCAAGCTGCTCGCACTGTCTGAGCAGCGCGTTAAAACGCCGTTTCCGCATGCCGGGAGGGATTTCCTCGACTGTCTTACCCAGGCGTACAGCCGGGTGGTGCCGATACATGACGACGCAGACTTGAACGCTGAGCTGGCGCATATCAAGACACGGCTGGCCGCATACATGTCCGCGTTTGTTGGCATCCCCGTACCCGACGAACATAGCCAGCTCAAGGCCCATATCCGGACGCAGATGCACTTTTTTAGCATCTACATCTTGGCTTCCACCTGGCGCGACACCGACGAGTCCCTCGCAGATCGCTTCGACCAGCAGTTTCACCACATCGTCTCCACCGCCGAACGCTTCCTCGAGCTGCATCTGCCGTCGCCCGCGTCCGTCGACACCGCACTCGACAGCACCCAGGGCATGCCGCCCTCGGCCAATGCTCCATTTATGCTCGATTCGAGTCTCTCGCTTTGTCTTTTTCTGATTGCGTCCAAGTGCCGCCAGTCCACCCTCCGCAGAAAGGTCACACGTTTGCTCCAGCATGCCGGCCTCCGCGGGCTCTTCGACTCGCGGCCGCTGGCGTTCTTTGCCTACCGCCTCATTGCGGTGGAGGAGGCGCGGGCGCGGCGCATTGGCAGGTTGCCGGCGGGCCATACAGACTTGGACTATGGGGACGTCCCGGAGGCGGCGCGGATTATTGACAGCACGCTGGTGGCGGACAAGAAGACGGGCAAGGCAGCGCTGCACATTGTGGTGCGTGATGGATGGCCCAGGTCGGAAGAGATGAGGCTAGAGACAGCTCTTGTTGATGTTGATGAACTTTTCTCTTCAAAGGAGGAGGGTGGCATTGAACGGCGACAAGTGTAGCTCCAGCCACGACATGGCCTGGCCAGGGTTGGAGAGCAAACTTCCCAGCTCGCGCAGCTGGCTGGTGGCTTCCTCATTTGGCTCATGGGGTGTAATTACTGAGGTGTATTTCCTTTGGCCGAAGCGCCCAGCGAGGCAGGTTCAACTCGCAGTCGCACCAGAAAACGGCAGAAGGCAGTCGCGCGCGAGGTCAAACTTGGGTTGTCAGAGCCGAAGGTGATGGGATATTTCTTACTCTGCATTACCACTCTGCATCACTCTGGTCCGAATCTTCTGCATTCATTCATTTCCAGTCCTTCTTCAACGCATTTTACCCTCGCCGCATATTTATACCCGTTGTTGGTACTCTTTTCGCGCGCACTAACCCGTTCGGCGTCCACCAAAAATGGTTGATTGGGACAATGGACTCTTTCAAATGGACCTCAACACATGCGTACGACAAAATCCATTTCTTGATGCCAATTCTCTAGCTTGACTGACAACATCAGGTTGGTGCTTTTATTTTCCCCTGCTTCATGTTTGGTCGTGCATCGCAGCGCACCTGGCACTACCCCAACGGTCTGCCCGAGGGTCAGATCGGCTGCAACAGCGCCTGCGTCATCATGGCTGCAGCTATGTTAGTTACGCCTATACACATGCACTGTTTGCCTATTTGCCTCCAGCGCGGTGAGATGCGTCGAAAGCTTGGCATTCGGGGCCACGGCTACCAGGACTGTGTGGTACGTTTGCCTGGTTTACTCACGAAGTGTCGCCATTGTGCTAATTGAACATGTAGGTCTCCTTCTTCTGTCCGTGTTGCAGCATTGCGCAAATGAACTTGGAACTGAAGAGACGTGTCGAGAAAATACAGGCTGGTGTGGTGGACAAGGGCTATGTCGCACCTGAAGCGATGCAAGACGGGCCACAAAGCATGCAGTGCCCGCAGGAGCATCCTCCTGGCGCCAAGAAACGATGAACAACTGGATGGTCTGCTTTCAAGATTAATACTGTACGAGTAGTCATAGCTATTATTTTTATTTCTGTGGGTGGTTGGTGCTGTTTCCTATAGAAATTATAGTTGAATAAATATCACACGCTCATGCCGGATCTGATAACTAACTTGCTGAGGCTGGCCGATGTTGTTGACAGATTGACTGTGCTGTCCAGCCTAAATTTTGAAGATTTTCTAAGTCTCCCATCTTTGACCGTGGCGTGTCTGGTTATCTCATATCACTTGGACTATGTAGCACGGCAGGGACATCTTCCACATGATCTGTGAGCCCTACAGCTTGCTATCCTTCCAGACAGGTCGCCTCTTTTCTACAAAGCTCTGCACGCCCTCCTTTTGGTTCTCACCGCCCTCGAGCTGCTGATAAATCCCATCATGAATCTGCTGCGTGCTCCTCACCGGATCAACGGCGTCCCACCCGCCCAGCAGGCCAGCCCTCGTCACAAGGACGGCATCAGGCGAGTTGCCGGCCACCTCGGCCGCCCACGCGAGCGCCTCGTCCACGACCCCACGGCCGGCGTCGGACGCCACGACACGATTCACCACGCCCCAGTCGCGCATCGTCTCGGCGCCGTACGTGCGTCCCAGCAGCGCCATCTCAGCGGCACGCTGGCGGCCCACGATGCGCGTAAGCCGCGGCAGCGCGCCAGCCACGGCCACGACGCCGACCCTCACCTCGGGCAGGCCAAACGTGGCGGCTTGCGCGGCGAGCACCATGTCGGCGGCGAGCACCATCTCCATGCCGCCGCCGAGACACGCGCCGTTGACGGCGGCAATGACGGGTTTGTGGCCGCGGCGGTTGCTGAGCCCGCCAAAGCCGGACGTGGCCCACGACGGGTCGCGCCCAGACGAAGCGGCGGCGGCGGCCGTGTTCCACTCCTTGAGGTCCGCGCCGGCGCAAAAGGCGCGGCCCGCGCCGGTCAGCACGGCGCAGCGCAGCGACGGCTCGCTATCGTACCACGCCCACAGCGCGGCGAGCTGCGGGTGCTGCGCCCGCGGCACCGCGTTGAAGGCCCCCGGCCGGTTGAGCGTCACGAGGACAACGTGCGGCTGCGGAAAGGTGACGAGGGTGTCTTGCACGGCGGGGGGTGGCTTCGTGAATGCCATGGTTTTGGAGTTGAGAGAGAGAAAGAGAGGGAAATTGGTCTTGGGAGAGACGAGTTGAGCTTGCCAACAGGAGAATGTTTTGATAGGCGTCGCGTGCCTTGGATGAATTGCCAGTGCTATCGGAAACCGGGGTAAGCTCCGGGGTTGGTGGTGTGGAAGACGAGCTACAAGTCGGCGAATGTGCAAATGAACTAGAGATGAAAAGCGGAGAAATATGGATGAGGTGGTATTATAGGTGTAAGCGGCCCATCATGATATTTTATATAGCACACGCTTCAATGTTATTTTATTTTCTTCTTCATATATGCGTGTCTGAACTAAATATTGGACCGGAGTTTATACAACGGCATCGTGGGGCTGCCTCGGCCCCCGACGCCAAGTTCGTCTCCATGATAGGCCAGCTTTGGTATTTACAGTCCTGTCTACAGTCTAGTCAATTCGGCATAGAAGTGATCACCACTGATGATGCAGAACTTGTCCGAACCGCGGCTGTGGCTGTTTTTTTCACAGGTTTGACAAGCGTTGCTAAGCTACCTATCTGTCCTCTTGGTTGTCTTCATTGCGAGATGAAGAGGGAAACAATGCAAACAAAATGCAACTCAATCGTGAACATGTTGCCAAATTGGAGGTTGTTGGAGTCAAGGACATCTAGTCTACCAAATATTGACTTCGAAGATGGGGCTTCCACGGGCACTTAAACCAACCTTGACAAAATATAAATCGAATTGGCCATGCATCGCTACCGTTCATCAAGCGATTTCGCAAGAAGCGAGTACAGTTCGATAAAATCCAGAATACGAGACACGTGTAGAGACAGGGCCCTGGGAAGGGCGCCGTACGATGCGGAGAATGCTACTGCTCGAGAGCCCGAAGGTATGCTGCCACATCTGGCGAAAGCATGCCATCCGCGACGAGCTGCTCTGCAGACTCAACAATCCACGATTGACAGTTCTTCTGCGTCACCTTTTTCCCCGGTGCGCCCTCCTCGCCCACCGTGTTCAGCGTCTTGCCCGGCGCCCTGACCTTGTGCACGCTCTCCTCCCACGCGCCGACCGGCTCGGCGTCGAACGCGAGCACGCCGTGGTTCAGCATGGCCTGCTCGTCAAAGTGCCGTGCGTCGAGCCACTGCAGCGGCGTCCGCTTGTTGGGGGCGTTGCCGGGCCCGCCGAGGTCAAAGGCGCGCTTCGCCTCGAGGCGGAAGCCGTGGGCGACGTCGCCGGTCGCGTGGACGACGACGCCGACGTCTGCGTTGCCGCGCGAGCCGAGGAAGTACGACCAGTGGTCCTTGAACGGGTAGCCGTTGGCGGTGAGGAGCTCGAGGAGAAGGGCACCGGCCGGTCCGTTGGGCGGGACAGAGGGAGGGGTTGGAGCTGAACGCTGGTTCGCCGAGGAGACTGTCGGACGGGGTAGCGGAGGCGGAGGAGGGACGCTAGAGGAGGGCATGGAGAATGGCGATTGGTCTTCGTACAGGGGCAATGGTGTTATTCAAGCAGACGGACACTGGTTGGTCGACACTCAATCGGTCCAATTGGCGAAGAATATGCGTTGTTTGCGTTTGCCAAGCATGGCTACTATCATGTTATAGTATTATGTATGCTTAGAAATAGTAAAGGCGTTATATATATATATATAGGTTAATTATTACTTTAGATAGTTAAAAGAAATATAACCTAATATTATCTATATTCTAAATAAAAATTAAAAAAAGCTTTATCTTATTAAAGTACTTTTTTAATAATATAAATTATATAGAAATTTAAATATTATTATAATATCTAAATTCTTAATATTTAAAATATTATATTAACCTTATTTATTACTTATTTAACTTTATTACTTTTCAATATATTTTTTAAGCCTTTATAATATAGTAGTTCTATACTAAGAAGTTCTATATAGGTTAATATATAGATTACTAGTTTAAGTCTAGCTAAAAATATACTAACTAATATTTCTAAAAGTTAAGTAATATAGCTTACCTTTATAATTAACTTATAAAAAACTATAAATAAAATAACTATAAAGTAAATTTAAAGTAAAGATTAAAAGTATATATTAACTACTATACTATTTAGCTTTTTAATAAATAGAATAAAGCTAAAAATTATATATATATTATAATATATATTTATAAATAGGTATTATAATAAAGAACTATTTTAATACTTAAATATATATATAAATAGTAAGTAATTTAATATATTTAGATATTTTCAAACCTTACCTAGGTTAGGACCAAGCCGGGGTCGGGACGGGCATAATACGACGGCAGTATAGGCACACGGAGAGATAGGATCAGGCCGGACACGTACTGGCCCTAGCCCGGCATAGAGATAGGAAAGAATCAACCTTTAATTTTAGAATTTAGTAAATAGGGCTATTAGCCCGCTCCTACTCTAGCACGGCCTAAACCTAGCACTAGCCTAACTCTACCTATTTACCTAGGTATAAAATAGAAGGTTTTTAAAAATAGGTATAGCCTAGGCTAGGCCTAGAGCTACCTTAACTTTACTACTTCTAGTAAGCTAAAAATATATAGAAAAATAAAAATAATTTTAAATAGATATAGCCTAGGCTAGGCCTAGTACTACCCCTTTTTACCTTCTTTTTTTACTTTTTTATCCTTTTTTTCTTACTCTTCTCTTTTTTAATTAAGATAGCTAAGTCTAGGCCTTTATCTAACCTAGGCTTAGGTATAATTACTCTCTAGGCCTTTAAAGTAGCTATAGTAATCTAAAGTAGGCTAGCTAAGGTATATTATTATTAAACTAGCTAATAAGCTATTTTAGCTTTAGCCTAGTTTAAATATACTAATATTTTAATATTAATATAAATAGTTATAATTAAAGTTAAATTATAATTAATAAAAGTTAATATAATTATAATTTAGGCTAAATTAATTATATTTTAAATATAATAAGTATTATTTTTAACTATTATATTATTAGTTATATTATAAGTATAATAAATAATTATTATAAAATAACTAAACTTAGTATTATTATAATTTAAAACTAAGCTATTCTTAATATAAGTTAAAAGTTAAGCTTAAGTAATAATAGTTATAAATTTAATAATATTAATAAGTTATTAATAGAATTAATTTAAAATAAACTTAAATAAGCTTTAAATTAGAATTAAAAAGACTTATTAGTATATAAACTTTATTATTTTTTATATATTTAGTATATATAGATATATTAAGATTTAAAACTAGATTAAGATAGAAACTACCTTAATATAGTATTAAAATACTTATTAGCCTATTTAAAGTAAGTAATAATACTAAAAGTACTTATACTATTAAGGTATTAGCTATAAGAAACTAATACTAGTTTAGTTATAATAATAACCTAATATAAGTATTTAATAAAGTAATAAGAAAGTAAAAAAGAAAGTAAGAAAAGTAGCTAGTTAGATTAATATTAACTTAAAAATAGATAATAAATAAATAAAGGTTACTTATATTATTAGTAATAATAGTAATATTAAACTAATAAGGTTAAGAATAAAATAAAGCTAAGAATATACTAAGAATAAGGTAGTTTACTATAATAGTAATAATAAAGGTTAGAATTTTATTTTTATATTAAAAAAGGTTTAATAATAATAAAGAAAAACTAGAAGTAGTCTAAAAAGGTATATAAAGGTAAGTAAAGAAGAAGAATATATAAGTAAAATAGTAGTAATAATAAGAAGCTAATAAAAAGAAAAGTTAGTATAATTTAGTAACTAAAGTAAGAATAGCTTAGCCTAAGTAAAGATAAGAGTAATAGTAAGAAGGTAGTATATATACTAAAGGTAAAGAAAATATATAATAATAATAACCCTTTTTATATACTAATTAGGCTAAATAACTTATTTAGTACCTTTACTATTTATAAAGTAAGGAAAAACTAAAGTACTTAAAGAAAAACCTTATCTATATTTTATAGGATTCTTTATAGTCTTATTTTAAAGTATATAGAGGTTTAATAAGACCTTTTTTACTACTATATACTAGGTTTTTATTTATATTCTAGTTTATATCTAGCCTATACTACTCTAACTAGCTAAGCCTATTAACTACCTTTTCTTTCTTTAGGTTTTTATTTATATTAAAGGGGTTATATTTAATTCTATATATCTATAATAGACTAGCCCTAAAGAGGCTTTAGGGGTAACTAGCCCTATAGCTATTAAGGGCGTAAGCCCTAACCCCCTTAACTATAAGGCTAAAAGGATTTATAATAATAATACTAACCGATTATTACCTAGTTATACCTATAAGGGCCCCCCTTTAGAGGCTCTACGCTAAGCTATTCTAGAAGGCGCTAGGCTAGAGCCTAGCCTATAATATACCTTCCCTCCCTAGCGTTATAAATAGGCTATAAACCCTCTAGGCTCTAATCTACTAGCCTATAAGCCTTTAGGCTAGTTAAGCTTAATTACCTTTATAGCTTTTTAATATTCTTAATATCTTTACTTTTTTTTTTCTTAAGAGTTTCTAATTCTTATCCTTATTTACTATTCTTTTTTACTTTAAATACTTTATACTCTATTTACTTAGATTTAAAGTATATTCTATAAAAAATACTATAATAATACTCTTAAGATTATTCTTAATTCTTATTATTATTAGCTTATATTATATAATAAGACTTAGTAAATAAATAAATATATTTTCTTTATAATTATTAGCTTTTAATAAAGGCTAAGTAGTAATTTTAATTATACTTTATTTAAATATTTATAGTTATTATTATTTTATTACTAGTTAATATATAATTAATAAGTTATTATTTTAATTTTATTTATAACTAATAAGACTTATATAAATAAGTAATTTAAAGCCTTATTAGCTATTAGTTAATAGCTAGTAAGGAATAAAAGGTATTTTTCTTTTTTTTTTTTAATTTTTTTCTTTCTTTTTTATTATTAATATTCTTTTCTATATTTTTATTAATATATCTTTTTTTTCTTTCTTTTTTATTTCTTTTTTCTTTTTTTATATTTTCTTTTTTTATACTTATAACTTTTCTTTATTAAATCCTATTATTCTTTATTAATTAACTCTATATAATTACTTTATAATATCTTATTTATTATTTCTTATTTTTATATTTAATAAAAAAAAGGCTTTTAATCTTATTATTAATTCTTTTAGTTTTTTAGTTATTAATATTATAACTTTTATTTATTTTTATATATACTTTTCTTTATTTTTTAAGCTTTTTATACTTACTAATATACCTTATTTAATAGTTAAGAACTTATAAGGTATTATATTTTTCTTTATATTAAAGCTTTTATTTAAGTTTAAAGCTATAGTTTTAAAATATTTTATAAAAAATATTATTAATTAGTTTTATATTATTATAGTTTATTAGTTTATTTTCTAGTTTTCTTAATTTATTTTAAATAATTTAATTTTTTTTATAAGTTTTTATTAGTTTTTATTTTACTTTTTATTTTTATTTTTTTTATTTTTTATTTTTTATTAACTTTTTATTTTCTTTTTAGTTTATTTATTACTTATAATATTATATTATTATTTTTAAGATTTTCTTTTTTTTATTAGTTTTATAAAGATTATAAAGACTATATTATTTATTTTATTCTTTTTAATTTAATAACTTAAAAAGAAAAAAAGAAAAGTAAATAAAAGTTTAAAAAAAAAGCCTATAAAATAAATATATTACCTTACTTTTATAAATATTAATTCTATATAATAATAATAATAATTCTTATATATTAATTAAGCTAAATAACTTATTTAGTACTTTTATTAATTATAAAATAAAGAAAAACTAAAGTATTTAAAGGAAAACCTTATCTATATTTTATAGGATTCTTTATAGTCTTATTCTAGAGTATATAGGGGTCTAGTAAGACCCTTTTTAATACTATATACTAGGTTTTTATTTATATTCTAGCCTATATCTAACCTATACTACTCTAACTAGCTAAGCTTATTAACTACCTTCCCTCTCTTTAGGTTTTTATCTATATTAAAAGGGCTTATTAATTCTATATAGATTTTTTATATAAATTATTTACTCTTTATAAATAAAAAGTAGTTAGTTTATTATAAGCTAAAAAGTAGGTTTTCTTTCTTTATTTTTTATTTAAAAGCTAATTAGTATAGTTTTAAATTTAAACTTTTATTCTTAATATAATAAAAAAAAAACTCTTTTATCTTTATATTTATACTTTTATTACTAAATTTATTATTATTATTTAAGCTTAATTAGTTATTTAATCTAATCTTAAGGCTTTAACTTAGCTTTTTAATATAATTAATAAGTTTAATAATAAAGAAGATAATAAATATATTTAGTTATATAATATAGTTATTTATTAATATTATATTATAAGTAATATAATTAGAAAATATACTTATAATATAGTTATTTTTATTATATTTTTTAGTTTAATTCTAATTTATAAAGTATATTTATTTTTAAATATATTTACTATTTAGAATAAGCTAATAAGTATTTTTAAAGAATTTACTAATAATATATATATAATATACTCTTTATTTATAATTTTAATTAATTATTTTAAGCCTTAATATAATACTTTTATACTTTTTAATAGTTTTAATTTTACTATTTATAATAAGATTATTAATAATAGTAAGTTAAAGTTATTTAAGTTACTTTAGACTTTTTATAATTATATTATTATTATAAGTCTATTTTTAATATAATAAAGCTTAAAAAAAAGGACTAAAGAAGCCTTTATTAATAGAAAGAAAAAGGATTTAGCCTAAAAAGGTATTAAGAATAAGAAAAAAAAGAAAAGGCCTTATTTAGATAAAGGTAAAAAGCCTATAAAGGTTAATAAAGATATTATTAAGAAAGCTATTATTAAAAAAGAAGTAATTAAGATAGCCTTAATTACCTTTATTTCTAGATTTAATAAAAAGTAGTTTTTTTCTTTTTTAATATTATAATAAATATTATTATATTAATAAGTAAAAATTTATTAAATACCTTAATTAGATAATAGAATATTATACTTTAAACCTATTTTTACCTATATTATTATTAAGATTTAATTAAAACTTAGTCTAGCTTATTATTTTTTATTATTTATTTATACTTAAAGGTATTATAGTTACTATTATTTATAGAACTATATTATAATAGTTATTATATACTTTAGGTAGTTAAAAGCTAGGATAATATCTTTTTAGTTTTAAAAGGGGCTTATATCTAGGTTTAGGTATAATAGTAAGTAGGAAAGAATAATATAAATAGGATTTTTAAATTCCTTATTATATTAATATATTAGTAAATAAAATCTAAAGACTTTCTTATTATAAAGAAAAGCTATTAGCCTAATCTTACTTATATAAAGCTATATAATTAGTAAACTAATATAGTATAAAAAGAACTATAAATTATTTTCTTTTTTCTTATATTAAACTTATAATAAATAATATACTAAGTAAACTTATAATTAATTAACTTACTCTTAATAATATATATTTATATCTTTTTAATAGTTATTTTATATAATTTAAAGTTATTTACCTAGTTTCTTTTTATTACTTTTTATTATCTAGTTAATATTTATTAAGAGTTTCTATAAAAGGTATATAAGGGGTAGCCTTTATTAGTAAATTCTATAATATTATACTATTAAGATTAGGATTTATAATATAATCTAGGTTATTATATATTAAAGTTAAGCTATTACTTTATTCTCTTCTTATCTTATTAAGGTTTAAATCTTATAAGTAGTAAAGTAGAGATAAATAGGGGGGATATTAAGTTTAACCTTAATATAATAGGTAGTTATAGCCTAAAAGGCTCTTACTACTATATAAAGGTATATTACCTAAAAGGTATTAAAGGTAGTAGCTAGGCTTACTAGTCTATTTCTTAGGGTATATTAGGTTATAAGGCTATAAGCTATAATTAGTTAGATAGTATAAAGGTAAAGTTCTCTTATATACCCTAGCTAGGGCCCTAAAGTAAATAAAGTATAGAAATATTAAGAATTATTATTATTATATTATACTAATTAGACTAGCTAGTCTTTTTAGTACCTTTATAGCTTATAAAATAGGGAAAAAACTAGAGTACCTAAAGGAAAAACCCTACCTTTAGTATAGGTTTAGTATAATCCTAAAGCAATTCCTAATAAGGAGTAATATACTTCTTATCTTAATAAAAGATAATAATAATAAATATAAATATATAAGAATTTAGTAAGTTAATAAATCTACCCCCCTAGTCTATTTCCTACTTAATCTATATACCCTTATAATTCTATTCTAGCTTAAAGTAAGCTTTATATATAGTTATAGTTCTTTCTATATTATAATTCCTAAATACTTTAAAATTTAAATAGGTATAATAATAAATATAGAAAGTTATAATATCTATTCTTATTATTTTTCTTTTTAGCTTCTTAGTTTATTATTTATATTATTTATTCTAAATAGATAAAAACCCCTTTTTTTATAAAACTTTACTTAGCTTAAAACTAGTTAGAATAGCTTAACTACTTTCTTACTTTTATATACTTCTATATTTATTCTTATTTCTTACTTTATAATTACTTTATTTATATTTCTATACTTCTTTTAAGCCTTTAGCTTAATATAAGCCTTTTTATAATTCTTTATATTTACTATATTAAGTAGAAAGAGTATTATAACTATATATATTTAATTATTATTATTTTAGCCTACTACCTAGCTAGCTAGCTTATTTCCTATAATATTTAAAAATTCTTAAATTTCTTAATTCTTACTCTTTTTCTTTCTTTTTTAATAATATATAATTTTATATTTTTCTTTTCTTTATTATATACTACTACCTTATTATTATCCTTATTCTTACCTAAGCTAAGCTATTCTTACTCTAGCTTTTAAACTATACTAACTCTTCTTTTTATTAATTCTTATTATTACTATTACTATACTTATATACTTTCCCCTTTCTTACTCTTATATACCTTTCTAGGTTACTTTTAGTTCTTTCTTAATATTATTAACCCTTTTTTAGTATAAAAATAAAATTTTAATCTTTACTACTATTATTATAATAAACTACCTTATTTTTAATATATTCCTAACTTTATCTTATTCTTAACTTTATTAGTTTAATACTATTATTATTATTAATAATATAAATAATCTTTATTTATTTATTATTTATCTTTAAGCTAATACTAATCTAGCTAACTACCTTTTTTACCTTTTTCTTTATTACCTTATTACCTTATTAAGTATTTATACTAGGTTATTACTATAGCTAAGCTAGTACTAGTTCTTTATAGCTAGTATCTTAATAGTATAGGTATTTTTAGTATTATTACCTACTTTAAGTAGGCTAGTAAGTATTTTAATTCTATACTAAGGCAGTTTCTATCTTAATCTAGTTCTAGATCTTAATATATCTATATATATAAGTATATAAAAAATAATAAAATATTAAGAATAAAAAAAAAGTATTAAAAAGAAATAAAAGCTAGAAACTTTTAAGAAAAATAAAAAATAAGAACTTTAAAGCTATAATAATAATTATACTTAATTAGCCTAAAAATATATAAGGCTAGATATAACTCTTTTTAATATAAATAAGAATAAAAGAAAAAAGAGTAAATTTAAAAAAAAGTTAGGCTAAATTAGTTTAGAAATATATAGAATTAAATATAGCCTTTTTAGTATAAATAAAAACTAGAAAAAAGAAAAAGTAATTAATAGGCTTAACTAGCTAGAAAGGTATAGGCTAAATATAGATTAGAATATAAATAAAAACCTAGTATATAATATTAAGAAGGGTTTTATTAGACCTTTATATACTTTAAAATAAGATTATAAAGAATTATATAAAAGTAGTTAAGGTTTTTCTTTAAGTACTTTAGTTTTTCCTTACTTTATAATTAATAAAGGTACTAAATAAGTTATTTAGCCTAATTAGTATATAAAAATTATTATTATTATTATACTATAGAAAATATATAGTATTAATAATCTTATTATTACTATTCTTTAATTATATTAAATAATATTAAGCTAACTTTATATATAGCTAATAAAAAGTATAATAGGTTTATATACTATTATAATATAAGCTTTATATTAGGAAAACCCTAATAAAACCTTAATAGGTTATGCTTGCCTTTATAGGCTATGTGGTTATATATAAGAACTATATTGTATTATTTGGGGTTCCGAAATTTAAGCCAATTTTTGCGGATTTATTAGACAGAAAAGCGAAAGCGTGACCTATGTGTCCCCCCCCCTGTGGCCGCCCCTTACTATAGCCTCTTCCCTGCCACGACCTTGTCCCGGCGCGTAATAATTGCCCTCCTATCTCGCTTACGGCTCTCTCGCAGGCTTGCTCGCTGGCTTGCTCGCTGGCTGCCTCGTTAGCTCGCTCTGAGTGCCCTGCTGGCTTACTCAAATAAGTGGGTGGTCGTCTTGTGCAGCCCGTTGCTTGTTGGCTGCACGCTCTGCCCGTATCTCGTTCTGTCGTTCAACGCTCCATGATTTTGACTGGTGCTTCCGGCTTTTTGCAAGCCTTTTTTTCTTCTTCAATGCTGCTCGGACTTCAGGATCTACCCGGTAAGGGATGTCGCGAAATGAAATAGTTCTCAAGATAGTCGACGTAGCATGGCTTGGATCTTTGCAGCCACGAGTTGCTAAAAGAAGCGCAGCTCTTAGTGCGAAGTGCGCATCGTTCCCAGCACTATGCAGCTTATTAAAAGGACAGCCAAGCACGGTTAATAACTCTCGGAGAGAGTTACCACAAATTCCCAAGACTTTATTAGCAAGCCTCGACGTATCAATAATTCCAGAGATGGAGTTTTCTCTGAAGTCGAAGCCCAGCTTTGCCAATACATCCACCTCACATCGTACACTATGCCCAATCAAAACAATAACCCGATTCTCTGGTATAATGGAGGTGATGCTCTTTAGAATTTCCGGCGGCCTGATTGTAGACGAATTTCCGAAAAGAAACTTTTTGGACGACTTAAGAATATAAGACGGAGATCCAGTTATCAAGTTATATGTTGAAATGATTTTGGTTGTGTTGACGCGGTGCAAATCTTTCGTATCCAAAACCGCAAGGCCAGTCTGGCTATCTTCGGCCTCCAAGAAATTGTTCATGAGGTTTCCTGTATTCTCAAAGTCGATTGATACGAGAACGACATCGGGGTTGCTGGCCTCAGAATGTTCGGGAGCAAGCTTCAAAGCTTGGAGCAGGATTTGCAGTCCGCTCTTTGAGATTCTCGGCTTCGTCGGTCGGTCCATTTCGGCGCCTTGTAATGGGGTGTGTCGGTAGGGATGGGTGATGCTGGTTGATAGCTTGATGGCTTGATGACGTCGCCTTCTTGCCTGTTTCGATTATGGGCAAGGTTATAAAGCAAGTCGTGCGGGGAGCCGAAGCTTGGAAGAAGAAAATGGATGGTTGGCCGAATGAAAAATTGATGGATTGCGTATGCGCTATAAGTAGTGCATTCATCAATGTGCACGTGGTAATAAGGGCACTTGTGGCCTTATGTAAGCTGTGGTGTATGGGTCGCACTAATCTTGTGCGTAAGGTTGATAGGTAAAGATTTCCGGATCCCACTCAACATAAGTCGGATTGGCCGAGTGGTTTAAGGCGTGCTCAATGTCCGAGTCGCTCCTCCTGTCGACCCCGAACCGCTCTCCTACGGGTGAAACAGAGACAGTGTGTGTGCGCGGCTAGGCTCTTGCCGGCTGCTGTACAGGGGGGGGGATGGTTGATAATCGCATGGGTGTGTCCGCGGCGCGCCCTCGGGGGTTCGAATCCCCCATCCGACGTTTTCTTTTAATCTTATTTCTTTTTAAATATAACTACCTAACTCGTTATTTTTTTAAAATTATAATATAATAATAATATACTTATAATATATAATTTATTAGTATTTTTATTATTATAATAAAATTAATTTAAAAAGGTTTTAATAATAATTAATATTATTATTATTAATAATTTTATAATAATAACTTTTTTATTTACTTAGTTATAAAAAATAAAAGAATTTATAATAATAATATTAATTAGTTATTATTATTTTTATAATATATTAGTTTTATATTAAAAAGGTTTATATAAAGTAATATATTATTATTATTATATTATACTAATTAGACTAACTAGTCTATTTAGTATCTTTATAGCTTATAAGATAGAGAAAAAACTAAAGTACTTAGAGGAAAAACCCTAGCTTTAGTATAGGTTTAGTATAATTCTAAAGTAATTCCTAATAAGAAGTAGTATACTTCTTATCTTAATAAAAGATAATAATAATAAGTATAAATATATAAAACTTAGTAGGTTAATAGACCTACCTATTTCCTACTTAATCTCTACTCTTTATAGTTCTATTCTAGCCTAGAGTAGGTACTATATATAGTTAAGATCCTTTCTAAGTTCTAATTTCTAGATATTTTAAAGTATAAATAGGTATAGTAATAACTATAAAAAGCTATAATACCTACTCTTATTATTCTTCTTTTTAGCTTTTATAGTTTATTTTCTATATTATTTATACTAAATAGATAAAAACCTTACTTTCTATAAAGTCTTACTTAACTTAAAACTAGTTAAGATAGTCTTACTATTTTCCTACTTTTATATACTTTTATACCTATCTTTACTTCTTACTTTATAATTACTTTATTTATATTTCTATACCCCTTTAAAGCCCCTAGCTTAATATTAGCTTTTAATATAGTTTTTTATATTTATTATACTAGGTAAGAAAGGTATTATAGCTATATATATTTAATTATTATTATTTTTAGTTTACTATTTAGTTAGATAATATTAAGGACTAGCCTTAGGGTATTTATAAATAGGTATTATAATAGTATTAACTCTTTTATAAAGTAAGAAAGAAGGAAAAGCTAGTCTATTTATTTACTCTAGTATATAAAGAGGGTATACTAGGGGTATACCTATAGTAGCCTTAGGCTAAGCCTAGTTTAGAGTAGGCCTAAGCCTAACTCCTTTATATACCCCCCTTCCCCCTTTATTACTTTAGTTATATATATTATATTTACTTAAGCTAGTATAGGCCTATTCTACCTTACTTACCTAAGTTAATATATATTAATATATATATAATACCTATACTAGGCTATTACCTAGAGCTTATACTTATTAGCTTATATATATATTATTAAAGAGTATTTTTATAATAACCTTAGTTTATTTACTTTTTATTATAGTTTTTATACTTAGAAAATTCTTTTAAGTAATCTATATATTATAATTACTTTTACTCTATATAACACTCCGAGTGTATAATTCGAATCGAAGCCAATTCAGCACCTATAAAGGTGAATAGTCTAAACGCTTAGAGAGCTATATATAGTATACTATAAGCACTAGACACATAGTAGCTAAGAATTCATAGCGAGTATAAATCACATAGGATAACTAATCTACTATAAGGCGGGAGAGGCTAGAGTTACCCTAAAGAAGAATTAGTTATAAGATTAGTAAGACCTATAGGTAAGTTAAGCCTAAATTAAGACCTTAAGTAGACCTATAAGAATAGGACTAATTTATATAAGTTTTAATTAGTATTTAAATAGTATTTAAACTCTAATTAAAAGGATAGGTTATCCTCCTTTTAGTTATTATAAAATAAGAAGGATATTTCCTAGAAGGAAAAAGGGATAAGCTTTAGTCTTAATAAGTAATATAACCTACCTTTTTCCTTTCCTACTTTTCTACCTAATCTAACCTAACTATTATAATTTTAAAGCTTCTATAAAAAGATTATCTAGAAAGAAAATAGAAGGCCTTACTAGAAATAAAACTAAATTATAAAGAGAAAGAAGTATCTTAACTCCTCTATCTCCTTAACCTCTTCTAGGATATCCCCTTACTATACTAATAAAGGATAATATAATTTAAGAAATTAATAATTTTCTTAAAGAGGCTAGAGATAGTATATCTCCTTTACTAAATAAAGAAGAGAAAGAGATCTAATAATAGATCTATAAAGCTAGGTAGAAGAATACTCTAAAAAAAGAGCTTTAACTCTTAAAGACTAAGTTAAGTAAAAGAAGTTATCTATTATAAGAAGAAAGTAATAAAGATAATTACCCTTCTTAAGGTATTTAGATTTAAAATATTACTAAACTATTAAACTAATATAACTTTTAAATCTATAATTAATAGAAAAGGGATTTATAAAGAGCCTTTATAGCTAATTTAAAGAAGTTCTATAAAGAATCTTTAAAAATTATCTATACTTAGGAATATATAGACTTAGCCTACTAGGCTAAATAGGATTAATACCTAAATAAGCTATTATTAAATAAATAAGAAGAATATAGTAAGGACTAAGATTACTTTATAAAATAAAGTAAAGTCCTATTAAAAGACTTAGCTAACCTAAAGATAAATATAGCTATTACCCTTAAGTCTACTAGATAGGGGCTAAGCTAGTACCCTATAGATTTCTATCTTTACCTAGATTTACTAGAAAAAAAGGTACTAATACTCCTAGAAGTTAGGAGAGTTTAGTAATACCTTATAAAACTATAAAAGTAGCTATAGAAAAAGATTATTAACTATATAAATAAGAACCTAAAGATAAAAGAAGAGGTAGTCTTAACTATAACCTAATATTAGGAAAGTAATACTCTAAAATAAGGACCCTTAGACTAAGGATTATAGGAAGGTATAAATAAGAGGTATAAACTAAACTATAAAAATAACTATTAGGATTAAGATAGACTAAAACTAGATTATTAAGAAAGACTATATATACCTTATTAAAAGAATAAATATCCTCTATCTTAAAGAAAGAAAGAAATTATTTACTATAAATATAATAAACCTAAGTATATTATATTAAAATATCCTAAGAATAAAAATACTAATAAACTAGACTTAAGAAAAGGAAGCTAGATAGTATAATTAGTTCTCTTACTACTCTAGTTTATACTAACCTTCTAGAACTAAAAACGTAGAACTTAGAAAAAGAGCTATAAATAGAGTCTAAAATATACCTAATATAAAGGGAACCTATATAAAAGGAAATAATAGCTAAACCTTTCTATATAATAAGTATTCTAGCTAATTAGATAAATACTACCTAAGTTATCCTAGATATAAGGGCTACTATAAGTCTAATTAGTACTAGGTTAGCCCTTTAACTTAATATTTAAAAATTAAAGGTAAAACTACTAAGAATTAAGATAATAGGAAAGGCCTAACTATAAATAGGTAATTTTTATAAAATACTAATTACTCTAATAGATTCTAGAAATAATATAAAAACTATTATAGTCTAATATTCCTTATCTTAAGATTTAGATTAAGGAGACTACTAGCTTCTAATTAAGATACTAGGTTTAAAGAACTATAATATCTTTATTAATCTAGGCTAGTAGCTATAATTCTTTAAAACCTAAAGTATATAAATTATATTAAATAAGCCCTAGTAGTTTAAAAAATAACTATAAACTATAATAGTAGTTTTTATAGTAATTAACTTACTAAAACTACTACTACTTCTAGAAGATAAAGAGGAATTAAAGCTAATACTTCTTATAATCCCTTCTAAACTATAGGATTATCTTAATATATTTAATAACTCTAAAGCTAGAATTATCCCTAATTTTAAAGATTCTAACTATACTATTAATATAGTAAAGGGATAGATACTACCTTATAGTCTTATCTACCCTCTCTCCCTAAAGGAATTTAAAACCCTATAGGAGTTTATTAATAAAGCTTTAAAGAAAGGGTAGATTTACCCTTTAGTAAGCCTTACTAGATCTCCTATACTATTTATTCCTAAAAAAGATAGAAGCCTTTAACTCTATATTAACTATTAAGGTTTAAATAAGGTTACTTAAAAGAACTAATACCTATTACCTTTAATTACTAAGATTCTAAACTAAATCTCTAAAGCTAAGTACTTCTTAAAAATTAATATTAAAAATATATACTATTAAATCTATATTAAAGAAGGTAATAAGTAGAAAATAATATTTAATAGTTATTATAAGTACTATAAGTTCTTAATAATACTATTTAAGTTAACTAATATACTAGTAATATTCTAAAGCTATATTTACTAAATAGTAAGTAAATTACTAGACTATATCTATATTATCTATCTTAATAATATCTTAATTTTCTTATAAACTAAAGAGGAATATACTAAATATTTAAAATTAGTTCTAGGAAAACTATATATTATAAAACTATATATTAAACTCTTAAAATATAAGTTCTACTAGTTAGAAGTTAAGTTCTT